CCCCAAAACCCCAAAACCCCAAAACCCCAAAACCCCAAAACCCCTTCATAAATTATTTGAATTGAAATCTATTTAACTTGCGTAGTGATGAGTCTCAACTACTGTCTTCTTCCTCCTGCATGGGCTTCTGGATCTCACATCAGCAATGTGAGATAAGGACTCTCTCATTTGGTTCTGGTTAGCAAGAGTAATATCCTTGATTCTGTGTCTTCTATCTAAAGCAGCTCTAATTTGGGCATCCCTCTCGGTGATATCTGTCAATTCAGCGCTCAAGCGATCATTTTGATCATTCAAACATCCGACATGTTTATTCATAGCGCAAAGTTGCTCAGAAAGATCATCCTTAGAAGCTTGAGATCTATCTAAAGCTGCTCTCATGCCATCAATATCCTTATGGAGGATGGAAAGATGGGCATCTTTGTCTCTAAGAGAAGCTTCAAGATGAGCAATGGCATCATCATTTTTAGCACTTTCTTCAATATTTGCTCTTCTTAATGAGTCATTATCGTTCAATTGTCCATTTAATTGATTATCAAGGCCATCATTGACATGGCAAGTATCCTTATAGATCACATTGAGGTGGCAAAGCTCTTTGTCTAAATCATCAAGCTTTTTGCTTCTTGCTACAAACTCAGAGTCTTTGCTTGACAAAAGCTTAGTGAGATCATCCTGCTTTACTTCTAAAGAATGAAGAGTATCTCTTTTTGAATGAAGTTCAAGATCTCTTGATTTCAAAACATCTTGGCATTTGGCAAACTCAGCTCTTAAGCCTGTATTATTGACTCTTTCTCCATGTAAATTATCTTCAAGTCTTTTGAGGTCATCTCTAAGTGCAGCATTGACACCATTCTTGGCATCTAAATCAAGTCTGAATCTATCAATATCAGCAGATTCTCCATTTGAAACAGTTTTGAGATGAGCGAGTTCTTCCTCAAGTCTCCTGATGTCATCCCTCTTATCAGTTAGAGCTCTGCCGAGCTCGACGTTATCTCTCTCGTTGCTCTCGATGCAGAGCCTATCTGAATCTGCGGTTCTCCTCATTTCTTCAGCAAGGTTTGCCTATGAATAAATTTAAATTTTCTTACCTTGCTTTCTTTGACGAGGTGCAAGCGGTAGTCTGACTCTGAGACTCTGTCATTGAGAGCGAGAAAGGCACGCTCTCTCTGTCTTAGTTCGTAGTTCTCAGCTCTCAGATCAGCAATAAGGTTGTCCTTAGCTCTGTTGTCAACTATAACTCTATCCTACATTATGAGGCCGGGTTCTTACAACTTCCATAATTCTTAAAATAATTTAACTGAAAATTAAAAATTCAAATATTAACTGTTGGCAGGGGTTTTGGGGTTTTGGGGTTTTGGGGTTTTGGGGTTTTGGGGTTTTGGGG